TAACCTCCTGCTATCTTGTTTCCACGGTTCCCAGACGAATATAGCCTGTGCAATACCTGCAATGAAGTAATCTATGACACAAAGTATAGTTTGTTTTATTGAACAGATCTATAGAGGAAATAATTGATAAATAGTAAATGGAGTCTGTTAAACCAGATCTGTCTGTATGTCTTACTTTACTGCTTGCTAAGGATATCTGCATCATGACTTGAAAACTATCAAAACCACCACCATGCCTTGTCTGGGTCAGCTGCTAGTACTGAGCTAATGTTAGGGTAAGGCTGGATTCTGTTATCGGGTACAGCTTCTCCTCTTGCGTAATCAGGAAGTTAACAAATCTTAGTGCAGGACTTGACACCACATAGAGATGAGGTATTTCATATTGACAGCTAATGCGGTCTATAAAAATAACAATGGTTAAAACTTTTCTGCCAGAAAGAGCATGTTACAGATGAGCACCTAGTGCTCCATGAAAATAACAAACCTAACATTGTCTTCTGTTTAAGTTGTAAGCCACTAAATGAGATTTTTCACCTGCCTGGATTTGCCAAAGTTTTGCAAATAACACTTTCCAAGAAGTCTGTATGTACTCCTCATTCTTGGTTGCTTCCAGGTTAACAAGCCTGTGTGCAGAGACGTGCTTGTGCCCAAAGGCTTACTGTCTGCTTTCCTTTCTCATCCGTAACACATTGTAGGCTGTTTACAGGAGGTCACTATTTTGTGGAATCACTTTAACTGTCCGATGCGCTTGGCTTAACCTTCTTGCTTCCGTTATTTTCTAGATTGGCCTTCTGGAGCTGATGCCATTAACCATACTTGATGCCCAATGGTAGGCACTTGCTTTCCTGCATGCATACAAGTAGAACAGACACATAAGTGCAGAAGGATGAAATACTTCTCTTATTTTACCAGTGACTGCCTGCAATTCTGACTTTAAAATTACACGCACTGTTCTTATGATAGTGATGCACTTTATCTTCAACTCTTCAGACCGTTCTGTTCTCTCTGAATTTAAAGCATGTGCTCAGAGGACTTCTTTGAGAGGAATTCCCACTTTCACTGAAGCCTTTGTTCTGAGGCATTTGCTTCAGTCTCTTGTTTTTCAAGTAGGATTGACTTTGTCGGGCACAGTAAAAAATACAGCCAAAGCATCTAGCATTAATGTGGGTAAAGCAGAAGGAAAGGCTGGAAGGGCTAAAGGAGAAATAATGTGTATTGATTTGCACCATGGGTGGGCCTGGCAGTGATTCGTGTTAAGTGGGGAATAAGTTGGGAGTAGCAGCTTGGAAAAGAATGTGGGAGGTATTTGCAAATGGGTGGCTACAGTGAGAGCACTTGCACTTTATTTATAGGCATTACATCTGCTGCATATGCCTCATCGTGATTTGGACTGATTCTTTACACCTTTCTTCAGTGCCTAGAAGGGCTTCAAAGACATACTGGGGGAGAGAGGAAAAAGATAGTGAATTCTTCTATTTCTTTTCTGCATCCTCATTTCTTCTTGGCTGTTCGTATTAATAACTTCTAATTATTAGAATATCAAAAAGTGCTGTTCACTAGCCAAGAACCCTGGGGGCCAAAAGCTGTTGGAGTAGAATTAAAAAAATCTCCTGCCTTAAATGTTTCTTAAACTTTAATGTGAAAGCTCAGTAGCGAAAAAGCTCTTCATAGGAACTTGCACCATGACATAGATCAAAACGTTTCTTCCCCCAGTCTTTCTAAACTGGCATGGGGAACGTCTCTTAGAATCATAAAATAGAATCATAGAATCATTAAGGTTGGAAAAGACCTCTAAGATCATCAAGTCCAACCATCAGCCCAACACCACACTGCCTACTACGCCATGTCCTGAAGTGCTATACCTACATGTTTTTTTGAACATCTCCAGGGACGGTGACTCCACCACTTCCCTGGGCAGCCTGTTCCAATGCCTGACCACTCTTTCAGTGAAGAAATTTTTCCTAATATCCAGTCTAAACCTCCCCTGATGCAACTCCAGGTTATTTCCCCTTGTCTTATTGCCTGTTACCTCACTACACCCTCGTTCCAGGTAGTTGTAGAGAGCAACTCTACAACTCTCCCCTCATCTTCCTCCAGACTAAGCAGCCCCAGCTCCCTCAGTCATAAGACTTGTTCTCCAGACCCTTCACCAGCTTCGTTGCCTTTCTCTGGACATGCTCCAGCTCCTCACTGTCCTCCTTGTAGCAAGGGGCCCAAAACTGAACACAGTACTTGAGACACGGCCTCACCAGTTCCAAGTACAGGGGCACAATCACTTCGCCACTCCTGCTGGCCACACTATCCCTGATACAAGCCAGGATGCCATTGGCCTCCTTGGCCACCTTGGCACACTGCTGGCTCATGGTTAACCTGTCGTCCACCAGGACACCCAGCTCTCTCTCCACAAAGCTGCTCTCCAGCAGGTCTGCCCCATTGCCTGAGGTTGTTGTGACCAAAGTGCAGGACCCAGCAGTCAGCCTTGTTGAAACTCATACAGTTGGCCTGGCCCATCAATCCAGCTTGTCCAAATCCCTCTGCAGAGCCTGCCTACCTATGCTCCCACCCAATCTGGTGTCTGCAAACTAACTGAGAGACCACTCATTTGTCTCATCCAGATCATTGCTAAAAATATTAAACAGGAATGACCCCACAACTGAGTCCTGGGGAACACCACTTGTGACTGGCTGCCAACTGGACTTAACGCCATTCACCACACCTCTCTGGCTTAGCCGTCCAGCTAGTTTCCTACTCAGTGAAGAGTACACCTGTCCAAGCCATGAGTCGCCAGTTTCTCCAGGAGAAAATCTGTGAATTCCCCATATTAAAATGTGTGGTCTTCAATTAACTCTCCCTAACAGACTGCACATTCTGCTCTAGGCACTTTACTTTTGGAAGATCTTGGTCTGACTAGTGGCTTTTTAAACTGAGTTTTGGCTTGGTGTGTCTTTTTTTGCAAATTTGATAAACCATGGCTGCATTTGCTGGGAAGGGCAGGGCTGGAGATGCAGTGTGACAGCACCCAGGACTTGCTTAGTGCTCTTTGTCAAGAGGCTCCTGTACCTGCTACGTGTGTGTGAAAAACCACAGTATTTGTTCTGAGTGTTTTAACTGGGCCTGAAAGCTAACAGCTAGAGTCAGGGTAGGTATTGCATAACTTAAAATCTGAACGGAAAGTAAAGCTCTTAATGTAATTAGCACTTGCTAATAAGCTAAGCTTGTCTTCTCTAGTATTTTGCTGGAAGAAAGTGATTGTCTGAGGGAATCACTGCTCCTGGAGAGCAGCCTGACCACCTTATATTGAAGCAGGAGCAGAGTCGAGTGCTGACCCCGAGTAAAGGTACCTGAGAGCTGTGCTCATCTCCCTGCCAGCGGCTGGGGTTGCCCCAGGGCCGTGTCCCAGCTGGGGACACGGGGGAGGCCCGCACGGGCAGGAGGCCATCGTGCTCTCTCTGCGCCCAGTGCTGCACCAGTACGTGTTAGCGCTCCCTGGGTGCCTCTCAGGTTGAGTTTGAGGTAAAAATGATGTTTTTTGCACGTCTTCGCTGAGGAAAGGCCAACGGTGCGGATGCAGCGCTAGAGCCGGAGCGAACGGCTGGAGCCACCGCCCCCTCACCCCTGCCTTTCCCGTCTGCCCCAAGCGGGAGGCCACCGGGTTTTCCTATCACACATAACAGGTGTAACCACCTGTAGTTATACATGAATCCCTGTAATTTGCTGATTTGAATTAGGTTCTGTGCCCCTCACTATGAGCATTCAGTATCTAATTTAGAAATTGTTTCTACTTCTGTTACATTTTGCAGCAATTTAAGTGATGGATGTGAACAGGCAAGATTTAGACCCCAGATCACCTTAGGGAAAAGCAAGTATTTCCAAAATAAGCTAGGAATTTTGTAGTGCAACTATCTTGCATTAAATGTTTTTGGAAATATTTAAATAAGAGTCTTTTGCAGTTTTACCTTTAGAAATGTCTGTCCTAGCAGAACACCTTAAAAAAAAGCAGGGTTCTTTAAAGACATCAGTTTCTGAGTGACAGTATGGACTGAAATGTATAGGATGGAAAAATCTTCAAGTGAAAGGAGGACCCAACTGGTTTAGTTTTTGGCCTGTTAAAATGACAGAAAGAGCAATAAAGGATCCAACCTAATGGTCGGTTTAAGCATAATCAAATACAAAAGAAAGATCTTTGTGTTTATTTATGTAATACTTCCAAACAAGCAGTGGTTAGTCATTAACTATAATTTTTCTGTATCCTTCTCTTGTCAGTGCATCAGCTCCAATCTGTTCTCAACTGATCCCTCTGCTGGCAGATGGAGAAGTGTTTGGGATGACCACAGAAATCAGTATCCATTTGCTTGACTTGGACCAGTTTAAGGAAGTTCTTTGCGGTATTGTAATGGATGCTGAAGACATGGCGTTCCCACTCCTGCGCAGTATTTCAGAGCACACTGAAATAGATGAGGCTTTTACCGCCGCGGTGCGGGGTTCGGGCCGGGCCGGGGGGAGCGCGGCGCTGCCGAGGGGGCAGAGCTGCCATCCCCCCTCTGCCTTCCCCGAGCCCGGACGAGTCCCTGGTTTTATGGCTTTCTACAGTTTTTCTCCAGCTCTGACCCTGCTGAGGGCTCGGCCCTTGTCGGGAGGCTTTGGACGTTAATGTCGCAGGTCGGATTCTCGTGTTGCTGGTGAAAACAAAATAAAAATAAAAGGATAGCGTAGGTAGGACCTGGGGTGGTGACTGAAACTGGAGTCTTAAAGCTGCGATGTTACTCATATTGTTTGTGGTTGTATGTTGCACAACCTAGATGCATATTCACTGCTGCTTAATAGTTCATCAAGAGTAAATTGGAACTGTCTACTACCTGGTGGTGTTAGAACTATGCTTTTTTGCTTTATAGGTGAAAAATCCCAAACATGAAGACCAATGCACCACACCTGTTGTCAAAGCTGACTTGGCTAGAAGTGGAATGTAGTTTCCCAACAGATCGTCTTACAAAGAAGTTGTAAATCCTTTGTAATGGCCAACAAGAAAGAGCCTCCTTTTTTCAATAAAGATAACATGCGGCCGTTTCACTACAAGCTTCCTTTTTATGAAACTATGGTGCTTTTCATTGAGACGCTTACAGGAACATGCTTTGAACTGCGAGTTTCCCCCTTTGAAACAGTAATTTCTGTGAAAGCTAAAATTCAAAGACTGGAAGGTACTATTCTCTCATTTCAGCATAAACTTTATCACTTTAGAGGAAGTCTTGTTTTACAAATTATAATTGTTAAAATCAAACTAGATAGATAATTTAGGTTACTTGTTCAGTAACGTGTAAGCTAGACACTTGCTTTATGGCTTAGGTTTAATTGGAATTCAGGTGTTTTTCTGTTTTTTCGTTTTCCTATCAGTTCATAGCTTCACTGGAATTCGTATTTTTCTCTTTTCTTGTTTTTTTTGTGTATATTAAGATAAGTCTTAAAAAGTCTATGGTAAATCATTAATTGTTTTGATATTATATGGGATACAGTATTTTTGGTGTTGAAGGAGTTCTCTGACATAAGTTGTTTGTTAATTAGCAAGGTTATAAACTTGAATTTTGCAGTATGTCTATATTGCAACTGTCTGAGCATACTTCAGACTAGTGCTATGGCTCTTGCTTCTTAGGTTAGTCAGTTTGTAGTTTTTTTATGATACTGCAGTCACAAGAGCAAGTGCAGTGCAGGCAAACCCCAGAAGCAGCTTGAAGTTACTGATTCGAATTTTGTTTAGGTGAGTGATCTTTTGCTGGTAAAAGTCTGGCTGAGCAGTGCTTTGTCTTAAAGTGATGAACTTGGCACATCTTGCAAAGTGAAAACCTCCTTTGTGAGGCCAGTTCTGGTGCTAATGCAAGGAGATAAGATGTAGGTTAGTCCTTGCTTGCTCTCTCTCCCTCTACGGTGGGAATGTACGGTGAGAATGATCCTGAATGAAAGAACTGTGACTTGAAATATGCATATATACATACTTTAGCTACTTTGCGGCATTTCATGCTCTTTCTCACTCTGGAGGAGTTAAAAGAACTGTGTAGCTGCACAAGCTGGGAGTAACAGAGTTGCTAATTTTAAGAAGAGGGATGGTCTCTTTCCCCAGTATATACCTGTACGTGTTTTTCATGCTTCCATCTGTGTGGAACCCACCCTCTGGGAGATGTCCTACGATGCTTTACACTTGAACCTAAGATACTCTCCTCCTCTTATGGAATCTGCACTAATGAACAGGGGGGAAAAAGTAGCTGGCACAAGTCTTAAAACACAGAAGTATTGCAGCAACAGGGGGTAATTTTTTTGCTAGTAGGGTCACATAGCAGGAGCTTCACCATGCAGATAACGAGAGTTTACATCAGTGTTGCTACAGTAGTGCAGCTATGTAGAGATGCTTTTGCTTCCTGTGGACAGGGCCATAATTAGTCACAAGTCAGAGAATGTTTTGAGATGCTCCTGGAGGCTAGAAGTGAAACAAGAGAATGAAAGGGTTTCTTTTCTCTATGATTGAATGCAGGTGTAGGAGAGATGCAAACAGATACATGATAGAGTGCTAACTATGAGGGAATTTAAAAGGGAGCATAGGCAATAGAGTGCAGGAGAAGGCAGGCTATCTGGACAGTATAGATGGAGTGAACTTTAAAGGATGCGTGAAGAGAGCAGTGGGAGATGTGAGGAAGAGGATAATAAGTCACCCAGGTGGAGTGAAAATCCTAAAATCATTTTGCAGTTGTGATTTAACATGGGAAGCAGAAAAGTTACATCCATTCCTGTTTCTGCTGCTGTTTTTCACTTTTTGTTATTGTATCATGTAAACTTTCAGGGAGTGCGAACCTTTCTCATTCAAGCTGCACTGCTGTCTGGAGAATGCCTCCTACACTGCTGGGCAACTGTATAGACTCCCTAGTGCACGTATTGTCTCCATGTACTCATTTAGGTGTTAAGGACGATAGTGTAAGCATACAAAAAGGCAATTTTTGGAAGAATGAACTGAGACTTGAGATCACCAGGATCAAAATCTAGAATTACATCAGAAGTTAATAAATTGTTCAAATGTCACCAATGCCTCTAATTGTAAGAGACTAATAATAGAACTACATCAGAATGAACTGATTGTTATCAACAACTGAAATATCAATAGCCATGGGCTGTCTGCACTGTAATAAGAAAGGATAATATGGATGGCATGTTAGGAATTTTGTATACTTCTGATACTGTTTGTCGTTCTTGGTGCCTGGTTAATGATCTGATGTGGAAAGGTTTTGTTCAGACAGCTGTAGTAGACATTGGCACTTTACTAAGAAAGAGCTCCACATCTCCAGCTTTCTGTTTCCAGTTGGTTTTAGTCATTAAAGTATATGGATAAAAAATTATTAATGGGTTCTAATACATCTGAAATTTCAGTGCAAGTCTACTTGTAAATTGAAGTTAAAGCAGGTCGGATGTGTGTTGAGATCAGATCCAGTCATTTGTCCTCAGGTATGTTCCATGCGAGGTAAGCACTTGATATCCAAAAATTTAGGTTTGTTGTGATGTTGACTTTGGAGCCACCTAGGGTAAATTGTTGCTAGTCTCAGATTCACTGAATGAGCCTTTTAAAGTTGCACACTGGAGAAGAAATAGCTCGTGTTGTCTCTGCTGGTGGCATAAAAGCTACAATGCGTGTAGCCAGCGGCATAGCGTAGTGTTTCCAGCCTACCCCATTGGTTTTACTTGTTGTTGATTATTTGTATTTGAAAGCAAGATCATTTGTTGATGGACATGGATAGGATGGTACCTGAGTTTCAAGGTGACATGGAAGATTGAGCTTTAACACATGAATGGTACTTAAAAAAAGCAAGACTTGATTGAAAGAGGAAATAGTTTTTTGGGTTTTTTTTAACTGAGATCTCTTCTTGTTTCCTCTGTTGCATGTCTTTGTAGCTGCTGGGCCGAACAAAGTTTAGTATTTTTCATTTGGAAACACCAATTATTATACTGAATTTTCCTGAAGGAATATTCAGATAGTGTATTCCTGGTAGTGGTTAGTTCTCTCATTTGTTAAAGAACCATAGATAATGCCTGTAAACATGTTTGTCAGTAAGATAGGATTGAGTCAGGAAGGAGGTGTAGTTTGGGATTTGGTGGTGGTGGTGTTGTTATTATTAAATTGTAGGAATTAATTTGCATTCTACAGTATGAAGCATTAAGACCTTCACTTAGGTAGCTAGCTTTAAAATAAGAATAAACAACTCAGACATGGTTTCTTCAGTGACTGCTAGCAACTGAATTTTATGATCTGTGTATGTGGAAACATCTACCTTTTTAGATGAAAATTTAGGTGTTCTCTTGTTCTTGTGTTATTGTAAAGGGGAAAAACAGATTTAGCTTTCAGATTTCATCTTAATTTGGAATGCCTGTGTTCAGCAGGGAATGACAGATGCAACAATTTTGTTGTTGTACATGTGTGTACTCTCAGTTCATTATGAGAGTTTTATTTTTGGTCTCTTTGCTGTCATTATTTTACTGCATGTGTACAGCAGCTTCACCTTAAGTGAAAGGAACTGGATGAATATTAAATAGGCTTCTTCTGGTGTTGTATTTCAGATTCAGAGTTACCTGTCACTGCTTAGAGCAGGGCAGCAGTAACTAGAGTGGCACATGCTCTCTGTTAACCCCTGCCCTCCCACCAGAGAAAGGGAAAAAGGAAAAAGGAGAGAGACTTACAAATTGGATATAAAAACAGCTTTACTAATAATACTAACAACATTAATAATAAGAGAAATAAGGGAAAATATACAAAACCGGTGCTGAGTTTCCTGGAGTTGAGTGCTGGGCACTGGTGTCCCACCAGCAGCTGCCAGGCAACACCAGGAAGTCCCAGACTGGCCTCCGCAGTAGATGGGAACTGGACTCAGGAATGCATGGATGGGGATCTGGTTCAGGATTGCAGACAGAACGACGAGCAGGGTCTTCTTCAGAAGCCAGCCGTGGATGAAGAGAGCGAGACCCTCGTGATCCACCCAGCTTCAAACTAAGTATTGCATGCATGGCATGGAATACCTCATTGGTCAATATTGGGTCACCTGTTCTGTCCACTCCTTCCTGCAAGTGTGACCCTTTACAGCTCCACACTTGTGGGACCTAAGAGCTCTATTGGTGACCTTGACTGCCATAGTAATAAACAGGGGCCTTTTTCTGCATTCCTTTCCTACTGTTAGCTCAGTGAGACTATAAACGTCTGGTGTTAACAGCTTTTTAGTGGACGCTGTTTGTAAAATTTGCAGCCAACTTCAGAAAAATGCAGTTACTTAAAAGAACTGAGCTGTAAGGAAGATCCACTAAAAGAGAATCAGTTCTCTTTAACCAAATCCAGGTCAACCTATTTGAAAAAGTAGTTCTTGGCCTCTATAGATTTTCATTTTAATTACAATTTGTCAGGCGTGCACAGTGAGATATTAAGTATCTGGATTTCACTAGATGGAACAACAGTACTTCTTTCTGATGCTGAAGGGAAGATTTTTTTTTTTTCCAAAGGCAAAAAAAGAAATTTTTAAATTTTTTTTCCCTAAGCCTGTCCTGGTTTGTACTCTATCCAAAATTTGGAAGGTGGCAGCATTCTGGTAAAAATGTGTGAAGACCTCAGGTCATACCATCTTATGCTTATTATTTTTAATGTGTATTACATTTGTATCCAAATGAGTTGAATATGCAGGCGAAAAGAAACAAAGTTAATCATGTAGAATACGGATTTTTAATATGGAACAAATACTCAGTATGCTTACTTCCTTTTAACAAAAAATAGGTAGCCAAATCTGTCCCAGAACTTGAGTTGAAAATGGGTATTACTGGATATAAGTAATAAAATGTTCTGATGGCCTAAAAGAACACCCACAACAAAATAAAAGTGTTTGTAGTACGAAGTTTGACTAACTGCTGTAGTACTATATTGTACATGTGAATTTTCAGGTTCCAAATAAAGCAGTGGTAAAAAAACATGCACGGTTTTCACCACTGTAATAAAAGTGCAATCAGTTATCTTTGTGTGACCTTGTCTTTACTGTGAGTAATACTGAATATCAGTCTGTGATTAAATTATTCAGCGGTTCTGTAGTTAGTTTTGTCATGTTTTTCCTGTCTGTAGAAATAAAGCTCTGAGTTACAGATAACGAGAAAAAAAAACCTCACTCATCTGATGACTGGAAAAGATGAAGTATTCAATAAGCCCGAAGCACTTGAATACAGACCCCTTGTTGAGCCAGAAGATTGAATGCGGAGTGTGAGCACAAGCCTGCTGAAAACCTTAACTTTGTTCTTGATAACTGTTTGGGAGGCTGGATATCACAACTGAAGGCTGCTCAAGTGCCTGTCCTTCTCCTGCTTCCTTTTTTCTTTCTACTGTGATCCTCTTCCTTGCCTCTCCTCCATTACCCCCACATTCTTCAAAAAGCAGAACTCCACAAAAGCCCTACCACAAAGCTCCAATGTTAATATTCTTTTTTGTTTCGTTGGTATTTTAGGTATTCCTGTCTCTCAGCAGCACTTAATTTGGAATAACATGGAGCTGAAGGATGACTATTGTTTGAATGATTATAAGTAAGTATAGAATAAAATTGCAATGAATGTTTCTAAATTATTGGTAGCATAAGCAATAGACAATGCTACAAAAATCTATTTGTTGTTATTTACAGCATTTCAGAAGGCTGCACTCTGAAGTTAGTTCTGGCTATGCGAGGTGGACCTATTAACACCAGAAGAGGTAGGTGTTAGTTAAAAAATAAGGGCTTTCATGCAACATAACTGTAAACAGCTTCTCTTAGCTAGGCATTTTAGATGAGCAGACTCCAATTCCAAGTTAATTGGAAAAATACTTAACAAAAATTGAGGGATTTTTTTCTGTCTCTTTTTCCTTATGTCAGGTGCACCATCCTTTTCATTTTGTTTACCCTTAGTTTAACAGGTACCTTTGTATAGAATCATGAAGTCTTAAAATTGGCAATTCTTTGCCTGCAGAAAAAAGGATACTGTAATGTCATTGTACAAACAGTTTTTTAAAATCTGGTTAGTGAGAGTCAGGCATTGGTTCAGTCTGATGATAAACTTGGTTATGTGGATCATCTATGTACTAGTGAAAATGGAGAAATAACCTCAATAATTTTCTTTCGGAAAACACTCAGCCTGTCTTTTAGGTTGGGAATTCCCATTGGAAACTGATCTGAGCTCTTGAAGGTGATCAGAACAATAGTAATAATCATTTGGTTTTATGTGGTTTTTTTTCTTTGTAGTGCCTGTGGAAGACCCTATCAGGGAAATGGCTGAATACGTGGATCCCAGTAGAGATGAGATATGGGAGAGAGGGCCATCCAACAAAGAAGTTACCTTCTTAGTATATCGAGAAGGAGATCAGTTGAATTTCTTCCGTGTGGTAGATCGGGGAGATGGCACTTTAACGCCATTATCTGAATCTATGAGGTAAAGTTGGTTTTAATCTTTATATTATTATTCAGAAGTGGGATGCTGTATAATTTTCAACTCTATCTGTTGACTTTGTCAAAAGAACATCTGGAATATATCTGGAATATTGGAAGAGTTGTGCCCTAAGGGCTACTAAAATGCTGTAACGAGGTGGCCTAACAATACAGTAGTACTTCGTGGTCTGAGGTCGTGCTGACAGTCATCTGTCCCTGTGTGTCTCAGTAGAATGAGATAAAGCTGATCTCGTGCTTGAGGCAATTCTCAACATTCCAACTCTTTCTAAAAGGGAGCATTTCACAGGAGAGTCAGTTTGGCAGTAAAGATATTAAACTTTTGTTAAGTACTTTCTCTTCCATCTTAAGGCATTTGTTTAGTTTTTATAAAATGTTTCTCTGTTCACAGCATAAACTTTTTCTCATATGGATATGACTGGACTAAATGATTAGTCAGGAACGTAGTAGATTAGCAGTGCAAAATTCTGAGAGGGTTTGTCTGAATTTTGGAGAACTGTGGGGTGGTTTTGTTTTATTTGGGGAAGGGTTGTGTTTTATTTGTTGGGAGTTGTTTTGGTGTTTGTTTTTTTTTTTTTTTTTGTTATGGGCTTTTGGAGGCTTGTTTTTATTTTGGTGTGTTTGGGTTTTTTTGTTTTGAGGATTTTGTTTGGGTTTGTGTTTGTTTGGTTTTGTTTGGTCTGGTTTGTCCCCCCTCCCCAAATATGCTGAAGTAGTTACCAATAGAGCTAGCCTTCGGACGTAATTAGGCCTCAGATTAGCTACTGTTGAGGTACCAAACTTGTCGCAGTCACTGTCACAGGATCAAAGTACTGTTACCATAAGAAGAGCAAGTATGTTACTTAAGCTACTACATTGTAGTAAACAGATTACTAGTCTTTTTCCTAAAGCTATCAAATTAATAATAGCTATTAAAAATTACTAGATTCTGTCTTTATACTACAGCTTCTGGGTAGGGTTTTTTAGCCCCTGAAGAACTTAATATTTGCACAAGTAAGGAAAGGAGTCACTGTTCTGGGGACTAGCTGCATCTTCTCCAGTGCTAAGGCTTGTATTGTGTTAAGTAACTGTTCTTGTTTCTGTTTGCAAAGTGAAAGTGACAGCTTTGTACTGTGGGTTTATATTCAATGTGATTCAGTGGGTTCAGAGTGATATAATTCTTATAAACTTTTATAAGAGACCTGTACTTAAAAACTACAGGCTGAATGAAATATCAAAGTTGAATTTCCACATAGTTACACAAAGTAGAAACAGCTAGTGTTTATTAGTGTGACTGGGTCAGACTTTGTGGGAATTGGAAAAAGTAGCAAAGGGAGGAGAGAATGGAAACAAATCAGACCTTTTCATTTGCTCTTTATAGAGGAAGGCTATGACTCACTCCAAATACTAATGTTTTCCACACTGACAGTTAAATATACTTGTATGTGTGGGTATATTGGCAACTGAGTGTTTGAGGCACTCATTTATCAGCTTTTCTCACAGTGCTTATGTGTGGAGCAGAATTTAGTGACTGCAATTTAGAAATGAGAGACGTTGGTTTGGGGTTTGTTTTATAGTTTTCTAGCTGATTTTACTTTCTCTGTGGTTAAGTTAATAGTTAAAACTTGGCAAGATGTAAATACATACAATCACAGAAGGGTAGGGGTTGGAAGGGACCTCTGTTGGATCAGCTACACCAATCCCCCTGCAAAAGCAGGGTCACCTAGACCAGGCTGCTCAGGACCTTGTCCAGGTGGGTTTTGAATACCTCCAGAGAAGGAGACTCCATAACCCCTCTAGGCAGCCTGTTCCAGTGCTCCGTCACCCTCAGAGGGAAGAAGTTCTTCCTCCTATTCAGATGGAACTTCCTATGCTTCAGTTTGTGCCCATTGCCCCTTGTCCTGTTGCTGGGCACCACTG